CTTGTTCCATCCCCGGCCCCACCCCCAATCCAGGTACCCAGGTGGAAGTTCTGCAGGTCGGAACCGAGTTGCATTGCGGAGTGGCCTCCCGCAGAGAGGGGACTCCGTTGCCTGAGAATACTTGTTCCCGGACTCAACATCAGGGAGGAAGTGAAGATTAGGTACGATTTGGTGGATCTCATTCCTTTTTTTTTTTTTTTTTTAAATGTGTAGCAAGCTGGCTGCTCTAGCCCCAACAGAAAAACTAGTCACCAGCGTCTGTCCTCTGTTTTCAGACAAATGAGGGCTTTCTCAGACTGTTAGAACTGTCATTTGGCCTCCCCTCCTGGAAAGGAGACTGGGAAAGTGCCACCCCAAGCACCATCATTCTGTCAGGATAGATACGAAATGGACACAACTCAGTAGGGCCAAAAATAGGAGATTTGGGCAGTCAGGCAAGGAACGTTTCACAGGGGCAAGGCCATGCCAAGGAGACCTCTGAAGTGGTGAAGGGTGGGGATGTTCACAAATCAGATGGGACATGATGATGATTTTGTGCAGTAGTTATTGAATTCTGCAAACTTACTGGTGTCGTCTTTTCTTTTTCTTCTTCTTGCAAAAATGGCAATTTCATAAGGTTCATTCAATGAAGAAAAAAATTCAGTCTTTTTAAAGAGCTAAAATGAAAACCAGTCAATGACTGGAGGAAGCTTGGTAAGAAACAAGTCACAGCTGACTCTGAGCTTGGGGGTGGCAGAAGAAAGAGAGCTACATTCTCAGTTATTGGTCGAGGCTTCAGTATCAACTTATAACAAATTTAAACTCTGGTGGGTGGCTGGGGTCTGGAGAGATGGCTCAGCAGTTAAGAGCACTAGCTGCTCTTACAGAGGACCTGGGTTCCATCCCCAGAACCCACGTGGCGGCTAACAATCTGTGGCTGCAGTTCCAGGGTATCTCACACCCTCTTCTGACTTCCACATGCATTATATGATGCAAGTGCACTTACATGCAGGCAAAAGACTCACACATAAAGTGAAAATAAATATTAAAAAAAATAAATTAGAGGTGTGTCTCGCATTTTGCAAAGCATGACTCACTGGAGCATTGGCATACAACTTTAATCCCAGCACTCAGGAGGCAGAAGGCAGGTTTAAGACCAGCCTGGTATACATAGTGAGATCCTGTCTCAAAAAACAAAACACACATACACATACCAAATAAACAAAAAACAAAAACAAAAAGTGACTCAATAATGTGCTGATATTTATAAATCAAATGCATTTTTCCTTAAAAGCACATTCAGAAAATATGAAGCGTCAACACCTAAAATATGTACTTACTTCGTCTGAATTGTACAAGATTGGCAATCCATGTTTTCCTGGGTAGGAATAAGTGAATGGAACCCGAGCTTCTAGAAACACTGCTCAGCACTTCTAAAATTTGTTTCAAAATTCTTATATAACTTTAAGAAATGAATTGTTGGTCAGAAGTGATGGTACACGCCTTTAATCCCAGCTCTCAGGAGGCAGAGGCAGGCGACTCTGAGTTCAAGGCCAGCCTGGTCTACATAATGAGTTCCAGGCCAGCTGGGGCTACAGGGAGAGCCTGTCTCAAAAAGAACAACAACAACAACAAAAGAAATGTTGACCGCATGTTCACAGGACCACATCTGGGAGCTGCAGGGCAGTCTGTTCCCCCATTCCCAAGACTTCTGCCTTCTCTTGGGAACAAATGTGCGGGAGCCTGGAGCACAAGCTCTGACCCAAGCTGCTCCCAGAGCAATGCTCCCTCTTTCATACATGATCTTTCACATGACATTTGCTTCCAAGAAAATGGGTCTATATTTATCAACCAATAGACACTTACAATTATTTTTGGAGCAAGAAAAAAAAAAAAAAAAACAAATTCTAAGCTAGGTATGGTGGTGCATGCCAATAATCCCTGTACTTGGGAGATAGAAGCAAGAGGATCGGAAGTTCATGGTCATCCTCAGCTATGTAGAGAGTTTACGGCCAGCCTGGGCTAATAAGACTCTATTTAAAAAAAAAAAAAAAGAAAGAAAGAAAGAAACAAGGAAACAAATCTGCAGTATTGGGAGGCTGAGGTAGAAGGATCACTGGGAATTCATGGATAGCCTTGGCTACATAGAAGATCCTGTCTCGCCAGGCATGGTGGTGCATGCCTGTAGTCCCAGAAATTGGGAGGCAGAGGTAGGTGGATCTCTGTGAGTTCAAGGCCAGCCTGGTCTACATAGTGAGTTCCAGGCCAGCTGGGGCTACAGGGAGACCCTGTCTCAAAAAGACAAAAGAAAAAAAAAAAGATTCTATCTTTAAAAAAAATCAAATAAAAACAAACAGGCAACAACAAAAAGACATGACAAATAAAAAATTCTTCAGCCTAAGGTTTGAAAATGTAAACATGTCCAATAGTGATTGTATTGAAATCCATTCACTTACTTTTAAAGTTTTTCTCCCCCCTTCTCCCTGCTCCTTTCTCCTTCTCTTCCTTCTCTTTCTCTGCCCCTCACTTCTATTCTTCCTGTGAATTCTCTGAGTGGATATGTACCTCCTGATCTTCCCAGGTGGTAGACACCCTGTGGAGTGATCCCATGGATCAGGATGGCTGCAAGGACAACACTATCTGAGGAGGAGGCTGTTACTTTTGACCTGATGTGACAGAGCAGTTGCTGGAGAAGTATAAGCTGCATTTCCTGATTCGTTAACATGAATGCAAACCTAAAGGCTATGAATTCTGCCACAACCGCAAGGTGGGCATGGAACCTGTGCATCAGTCTTCGATGTGTATCACAAAAGTGGTCCAAAGAGATCCTCCCAGGACTGGATGAGCGAAGGCTCTTGGTTTCTAACAACCAACTGTGCTTAGGATTTGTTATTCACTTGCTTACAGCATCTAGGTCCGTTACAATCTTGTGTGTATGTGTTTACAAGTATGCATATGTATGTAGAGACCAGAAGTCCATGTTGGGTGTCTTCTTTAGTAGTTCTCCACCTTAGTTTTTGATACAGGGTGTCTCACTGAACCTGAAACTTACCAATTCGGCTAGGCTTGACGTCCAGTGAGTTCCAAAGGTCCACCTGTCTCCATGTCCACAGTGCTGGATGTACAGTGCAAGATGCACACCACCCCATTGACTTTTTAGGTAGGTGCCAGATTCATGGACTCAGGTCCTCATGCTTTCTGCAGCAAGCACTTTTCCAACAGGACCGTCTGTCTTCCCATCCTCCTTCACAATCTTTGCCTTGTATTGCCTCTTTAATACTTAAAATTTGATTGCTGCTGGTGCTTGCCAAAACCCTGACAGTAAGGAACAGGTAAGACACCATTTTATTGATGGACATAGGAGGCCAGTATTCCCCCAGTCATATTTTTACCTTTAAGTCATATGACTTGTCTCCTGTCTCAAACACCCTGTAAGACACTGTATTTCAGCACTGTCCAGAGATTTGGGATTGTGTGTCTTCTCAGAAGCACATTAATGTCTGACTAATTTCTGGGCATCTCCAAATCCTGTAATATTTGCCTAGCTTAATGACAGAGGATGGGACTCTGTATTCCTAGGAATCCTCTGTCTATAGGAGAACAACAGATTTGCAGTCAACCAATGGAAGAAATGGTTGATTAACTGGCTTTTCAGGTTTCCTTGTGGCAAGGCTTCTGAGAACATCTTGTTTCCTGTGTTCACTGTGAATCTTCAGGAAGAGATACCATGTCCAGCATTTCCCAGGGTATCAATAATAGAAAGCTTCACAGAGCCTCTCTGGAGGCACAAACATTGTAGAAAACCCTGCTTTCAGTGCTGGAGAGATGACTTAGCAGTTAAGAGTGCTTACTGATCTTGTAGAGGTCCAAGCTTCCATTTCCAGCACCCATATTGGTTGACTCACAACTGCTTGTAACACCAGTGCTAGGGAATCCAATGCCTTCTTCTAGCCCCCATGGATACCTGCACATACTTGGTACACATAACCTCACACAGGCACACACGCATGCACACACACACATACATACACAAATAAATAAGTAAATAAATAAGAAAGCCTTGGTTTGAGTCAGCTCATTTGCATTAGAACTGATTTGCATGCCAGGTTTAATGACTGTTCCAGCTCACAAGACTCAACCTGCTTCTAAGTTGAACCAAATGAAGTGCTTTCCCCTTTTTATGTAAAATGACCTCTACTAACTTTATTTGGGATAAAAATGTGAATTCATATTATAGAGGGCCTATCAATTTGAGTGTCTATGATTTGAGTCTCAATTCCTTAATAGGATGAGAACCGAGAGAGCGAGAGCGAGAGTGAGAGCAAGGGCAAATGTGAGGAGGAGCAACTGCAGCCCCTGATGTTGGGTTGACCAGTGGGACTGAGGATGCAGGTTCTTTTGTGTATATGAATTTTGTGTCTCCTTTGTGGGTTTTTTTTGGTCTTTTTGAGAAAGGGCTTCCCTGTAGCCCCAGCTGGCCTGGAACTCACTATGTACACCAGGCTGGCCTTGAACCACCATGCCCGATTGTGTCTTTGTTTTGATTCGGGTGTTAACCATTTTCTCTGCCTCCAATTACTATGAAGCTGGCAGTAACGTCAAACTGGGACCAGCCCTGACCCCACATATTGTGCAGTGTCAAGCTAACAAGGCGACCTACACCCTGACCATGTGGCAAAGGCAAGGGTTTTCAATGAATGGGTATCAGAAAAAACTATAGTGCTTAGAGCTGTCAAATGTCATTTCATTTATTCACATTCTACAGAAAAATTCAGAATTCAGCTATGCTAGTGCTGAAGTCTAGAACAGGTGTTATACCAGGGAATAATCCTGTCTTAGCTTTGATTTGTTTGGTTGCTGATTGCTTGGTTTCTTTTTTCTTTTCTTTCTTTTTTTTTTTGAGATGGGGTCTCATTTAAGTCCAGACTGACCTCAATTGTATAGCTGAGAAGGACTGGCTTTCTGTTCTTTCTGCCTCCACCTAAGTGTTGGGATTACAGGCATGTGCCACCATACCTGCCTAATTCTGTTTTCATTATTATAATGAAATACCTGAGGCAAGATGTTTATGAGGAAAAGAAATTTATTTAACAAATAGTTTTGGAGGCTGAAAATCTAAGCTTGGACAGCCCTGGGTGATGGCCTAATCCCAAATGGCAACTCTATGCAAAGGGCTAAGGCCCCAACACATGAACCTTTGGAGAACAAGTCCCACTAAATCAGAGCAGGCCTCTTTCCTCTAGACCCTCTCATCTCTTTACCTAGCCATCATTAATAGGAGCAATAAATTGTGTTTCCTGCAGAAATTATTCTCAATAGGTGCATCTTAGATAAAATCCATCTATTGGGCAATCTTCCATGGTTGTACTTCTGTTTTCTGCCATCTGGAGTTTGGGTTACTCCTGAAAGCCACAGAGAAGGATTCTTTCTTTGCCTGGGGACTTGGCAGATGGATTTCAGTGCATGCATTTGTTAACTATGACCTTTCTGGGAAGGAAACATGTCATGGTATTTAAGTTGATCTGTTGAGATTATTCAGAGTTCTAACCCTAGTGGAGAATTTAGTGTATGTTGAGAGTTATAAAGACTATATATATA